TTATTTTCACTTTAAAAAAAATCCCTGAATTGCACAAAAATGGCCTTGCATACTTCTTTGACTTTATCCATGTACATGTCGACCTATTTTCACTTAAAAAAATATCCCCAAATTGCACAAAGATGGCACTATGCACTCTTTTAACTTTATCCATGTACACGTACACCTATTTTCACTTAAAAAAAAATCCCAGAATTGCACAAACTTGCATAGCACACTCCCTTTACTTTGTCCATGTACACATCAATATATTTTCACTTAAAAAGTCAAAGGAACACCAAATTCTACAAAACAAAAAATATATAATCTCACTAAAATACATTTTAAACCAAACAATAAAATAACATAAAAAAGGAAAAACATGTTATACTTTTAAGCACTACCGAAAGCAAATATTCACTTACCGTGATTTTCGAGCTCGCTTCGTACACCTAGAGCCACGTAAAAATCAAAATATCAATCATATTCAAATGACTTTTTTCAAACCAGGTACTCTTTTTGATCGAACGCTTCACATAGTGACCATCTGAACCTTTCTTCCTACAAACCCATTCAAATCCATCTAAACGCTTTTTACATTCGACTAGACGCATATCCTTCCTACATACAGGACACTTATAATGGCTACTAAGTAAACCTTCATTTACACACCAGTCAATTAAAGCTCTTTTCCCTTTCGCTCCAAATCGTACAGAAACTTCAAATTAAACTTACTACATTCGCCATTCTACCGTGTAAAGAATCAAACCAACACACACCACAAAAACGCTTACAAAACATCCCATGATTCAAAATTTCCCAGAATCATTCACCCGAATACGTCACAATAGTGTTTTCATAACATTCAACTACTCAGGCTACCATAAATGAAACAACAACTTGGCGATAAATCAAACAACTTCGCCATAATACAAGGGGTACCTTAAAGTCTACTCTACCCAAATTACTTTTTTCTTTTGCTCCTCATTCCGACATGACAATGAGTCAGAAATTAATTAATTCCTATTCATTAGTTAGTATATTAAAAAATTTTAACAGACGTTTTCACTCACATAAGAACTCCACAATAAACCTCCGTCAAACATTTTTAGTCCCTCCCATGTACCAAGAATAGCTTCTCAAAAGTTTCACCGCCTGTAATATTTCAAAGTATCCCCACTGACGATAACGAAATTTCGGACACACCCCCCTTATGAGTAAGACACAGATGAAAACACTTTACCAACATCCCACTAGAATGTAAGTTAATTAATGCATTTTCTGGCCTTTTAAATTTTCATATACATTTCACATTTTACATTTCATTATTTCTTATTATATATATTTCAATTTTTTAACTTTTATTTCATTTGTTTCTCATGTTTATTTCAATTACTTTGAGTTCTATTTCATAATTACAGTTAAGATTACTGCTGTTTATAACGTTTATTTATATAAAAATAGTCTTAAATTAACATGAATAAAAGTGAAGGTGTCGGGGGACATTTACTCAAGTATCTTGTAAATTTTACTACATAAATTGGTTTTTCACTCAAAATTTCTAAAGAATCTTATATTAGGGAAAATGCTTCTTTCAGAATGAGTTCTTCGATACTCTACTTTGGCTATAAATTCCATCGCTTCATGAAACTAAAATTTTGGCCTAACTTAATTTGCCAGTTTGGCATAATGATTCTTACATGAGTAAAAGATGAAACACCTTCATTTATTAATTATTGTTCATTGAACGAGAGTTGGTTTGTTCCCCTTGAAAAGTCAACTAATTTCCGATCAATAGCGATTACTTGTTTTTTTATTTTTTATTTCTTTTCCAAAGTTTGAAATTTTGTTATTCACGACTTAAATTCAAGTTCCCTTAAAACGTTTTTTTCATGATTACATTCAAGTTCCTTTAAAACACAATTTTCGGAATTAAACTTCCTACATATGGGTTCCCTCTTTTTGATACATTCTACTAAATTTATATTAGAAGATAATATAATCAATATTTCTTTAGTAAATAAATTAGTATGCTTTCATTTTAATACCCTTACATATATATATTAATAATAAATAAAAAGTAAGAAATTTAGAACCAAATTTGCAAAGACATGTAAGAAATGAAATTCAATGCCAGTAAAATTCAAAACTGCACAGAAATAATATTAGGATAATTTTGTTTTAAATTTTTTAAAAAGTTATGATACTGTAATATCAAGGAAGCAGCTATAAGTGCTTTTACTATAAAATAGTTCAGCAAAACCTGGGGTTTACATATTTATTATATATACACAGAGACAGATAATAACCTCAGAAGCATCTCTTGAAAAAAAAAAAAATTCACAATCCGAGAAAGTAAAAAAAAAATTAACAAACATTTTTCACTTAATTCAAATTAATATGATTAAGGGTGATAAAAAAATGCTTGTTGTTATAACTTTTCGTATGCTTTATCTTGGTATTTGATTATAACCCAAAGCAATAACTACATTTATTTTAAAATTTATTAAACTACTAAGCATGAATTTTACACTAATTATGACATAAAATAGCTAAAGATTTTGAAGATTTTAACAAACATAAGTCGTTCAGTACCATATTCTGATGAATAATGGAAGGTAAATGGTGATAAACACTTATAGGTAGATAAGGATGACAGCAATTACATATTTTATATTTAATTCACTAGAAATTATAATTTTTTGTATTTCAGTACTTTCATCTGGAAAGATCTTAACTTTAACAAAGACATATCAAAGTCAAAATTATAAAAATTTTAAGGATAAGCTGATTTGAAATAAAGACAACAATAACAAAAAATGTTCTCTTCCATGATTTAAATAAAAAAAAAAAAAAAAAAAAAAAAAAAAAAAAAGGAGGCAGAAGCAAATTACACCCAATTATGAATCCCTTCTTTCAGTATAAGTATGCTATTGGCATATATTGCTGACAACTGTTTTAACCCCTTCTTGGTTGGCGTCGCATCTCACCTGTTTAGGTTTTTGTGCCACCGTAAGGTCAGTGTTGCATGCCATGTGATGCAGTGAAAAATTCCAACGTTGAAACTGAATTCATCACTTTAAATTCTGCAATTATTTACATATTTCCAAATATTGCTCAGAGACAACGTGACTAGTCCTAATTTTGGTTAGAGTTGACTTTAAGGTACCCCTTGTATTATCACGAAATTGTTGTTTCATTTATGGTAACATGAGTACTTGAATGTTATGGAAACCCTATTATGACATAATCGTTTGCATTATCTCAGAAAATTTTGAATCATGGGATGTTTTGTAAGGGCTTTTGTGGCGTGTGTTGTTAGGAAGTACATTGCTTGTTTCTTTATTTAGACGGTAGAATGTCTGAATGTAGTAAGACTAATTTGAAGTTTCTGTATAATTTGGAATGAAAGGGGAAAAGTGCATTAATTGAAAAAAATGTGGGGGGGGGGGGGGGGGGGGGGGGGGGGGGGGGGGGGGGGGGGGGGGGGGGGGGGGGGGGGGGGGGGGGGGGGGGGGGGGTTTAAATTATAATTGACATAAATAAAGGTTTACTTAGTAACCATTTTCTGGACAGTCCGGAACTACGTATGATATTTTTTACTCTTATTTTTGCGAATTTATGTGGCGACGCCAATATACGGATTCGAGTTCAGATAATTTTAGGAAGTTTTTTGATGCTGTTAAGGAATTTTGTGTGCCACAGACTGAAGACGAAGGAATTTCTAAATAAGGTAAGTGCATATTTGCTTTGTGTAGTGCTTATATGCATAACGGGTTTTTCTTTATATATTTTTTGGTTTGCCTCTACTGTAGAATTGGGTGCTCCTTTGACTTTGCAGTGAAAGTGAAAATACATCGACGTGTACATGGACAAACTCAAGTTTGTGCCCAATGCCATTTTTGTGGAATTCTGGGATTTTTTTAAAGTGAAAACAGGTCGATGTGTACATGGATAAAGGGAGTGCGCAATGTCATTTTTGTGCAATTCTGGGATATTTTTTTAAGTGAAAATAGGTCGATGTGTACATGTATACCGAGTTTGTGCAATTCTTGTCTTGTTATTTTGGCTTTGCGTAGACCAAAAATTGCCGCTATGCAAGCCAAAATAACAAGTCAAAGAATTGCACAAACTCTGATTCCATGTGCCGCAAAAAATACTTTAATCGTCTTAAATATACTTATAAAAATTGCCTTAAATATACTTTTGCCCTAGTTTCTTCCCAATTTTCGCAGTGAGATTTCCCGCCCTGAATATCTGCATGACATGTGTTAGAATTTCAACTTAAAAAAAAAAAAAAAAAAAAAAAATTCAAGAAACTTTTGAAATTCATAGCCAATTTTTTTTGATAAAGTAAGTAAAAAAATTTTTTCTTTGGATTAAATATATGATTTTGGTTTTGTGATAAATTTGGTTTTTATGCTCTGATGTCCAAGGCAGGTTGTAAAGCTGTTTTAACAGTAAGGTTGGAAAGCCATTTTCTAAAGCATTTTTTATGTAATTTTAATCATTATTTTTATGTAGATATTTATATTAAACAAATCAAAACAATAGAGTTAATAAATATGTATAGTATCACATTGTATTTTTTAAATTTTAAACCTTGGTGCATTTCATGGCAAACTGGTGATCGGCGAACGGGATATCACATATTTGACCACCCATAGATCCATCAAAAACTGCTTACTGTCAAAAATATTTTGCATTTTCGAATTAAGGATAGAACACATATTAATTTTCAGCAATTAAAAAAAATGCTTTTTGAAGGTCAGAAATTCGAAAAAGTATTCGAACAAGAAGGGGTTAACACAACATTATAGCAAGAGATACTGCTTATTGGTTAACATGTACCTACTTTTTCAACTTATAAGACACAAAAAATTCTCATATAAAATTGTTAGTTTCGCACCGTTTCTTCTAGTCATTTAATTTAATAATTCAAGTCATTTAATTATTTTTAAAATCAGTAATTAAAATTAATGCATTTGTTAAATATTATCTTAGAACTAATACTAGTTTACCTAGTTTCTAAAACTAAGGCAGTATCACCGATTATAGATAATAAAAGAATTGATTAAGTAACAAATTCTTTTAAACTAAAAATAATTCGCTTTCAAAAAACTTAATACGCATAAAATTTTTCTTCAAATGGGAAACATGATCAAAACTCCATTGGAAATAAACATTTTAAATAAAAATACAGCTCGGCAAACTTACAGTCACATGTAGTAGATAAATATGTTTTGATTAACTGTGAAAATATTTCTGTTGCCACAAATGAAGGACAAATAGTCCTTCATTTTTTTAACCTAAATAATTTGGAATTTATGGTTTACGGAGATGTGTTTTAAAACTTAAATTCATAAATATTTTATTTTTGGTAAACTTTACTAGCTAATCTCCTTTAATTTTTTTATTCTTGTTTGCCTATTAGTGATGTAAAATGGTATAGCTTCACAAAAATAGTGCCGCTGTCTGACCGTAATTGTGGGCCATAAGCCATCTGAGTTTGAAGTTTGAGAGAGTGGGTTTTATTCTACCAGTGAGTTATTATTATTTTGCATTCTATAATTATCGTTTAGAAGGATCATAGTATTTGTAATTATATTTTTATTTTGTTAGTTTTTAAGAAACAGGAAATCATGTAACATTTTTATTTACTTGCTCTCATATGCACATCAGAATCTCCCGTATAAGAAAATTTGAAAATGGAATTTAAGAAAAGAACTAGCTGATCTTCATCCAGCTGAAATCCTACATTTTTTACACATAGTTTATAGTTTTACTATACAGTTTCTAGTTTCTTACCTAACTGTAATTTTTTTTTTTTTTTTTTTTTTTTTTTTTTGGTGCAAAATTTTGGTTTTAATGTGTTTTCTAAGTTTCCGGTTTTGATTTTGCACAGCATGCCTGCATTTTAGTGTGTTCCGGAGAAACTATTATGTATAATATTATGTATTTTTTTAAATGATATAATTATTATGATTCTTGATTTATGTCACTGTAACAGATTAGGGGTAAAAATCAACATTTTTATTGTAAATTTGTTCATTAATTAAATGTATGTTTAATAGCTTTGTTGACAAATGAATATGAATTCATGTTATTCTATTTTTTTTGTAAGATAAGCCTCTTTTAATTGAATCATAAAGATATGTGCTTAGTACCTATATGTTTGAAATAATAAATTAGCCCCCATGTTTAATATTATTTAGATATTTTTTAATACATAACTTATTTGAACTGTGTGTCCTTTCATAAATTTCCATATTCATTGCAAATTGATTTTCATTCCAATGATTATGCATTCTCTCAAAAGAATTTAATTTTTTTTTATTAAAACTAATTTTTGTGCTAGATATTGTAATTTTAAAATGCCATATTTCACCTATCTATCTATAAAGTATACAAACATATATTTGATAGGTACATAAGTTTCACGGTACTCTTCGGCTCAGGCAAACTCGATGAGTTTATCGCACAGGACCCGGATTCAGAAATATATGTATTGATGGATTGGTGTGTTCATATATAGATGAATTGATGTGTTCATATATACATGTTTATGTGTACATGCATATGTATGTGTGTGCACTTGCAACACGTTTTTACATTTCTAAATCCAATCCCAAGAACAGAAGATTACTAAAAATCATTGTTATTTTTAGATTTTTTTTTAATTTGGAATTTTCAAAAGGAATGCCTTTCATATAAATAGCATCAATTATGATGAATTTTTCACCAAATCAGACAGTTTTGGATAAATGTTTGTAAATGTTTTACTATGTTAGCAAAAAATTGGATATTTTGGGGGCCTTGTTAGATTGAATAATTATTTTTAATAATACCATAGATGTGTAATCAGGATAGCTATTAGTTATGCTCTATGAATAAATGTATTATTTTTTTATCACAGTTTTTTTTTTTTTTTTTTTTTTTTTTTTTTTTTTGATGCAGTAGTCATTGTATAATTTTATGTAGTACATTAAGCATTTGGTCATACAAATCTGCAATATTTACATTTATTGACTAGAAGAATTATGAAAGTGTTGTGCTACTAAATACTTGTGTAGTTAATCAAGTCTATTGAGCATTACGTACTTTTACCCTTGAGGTTATGAGTTTTTCATAGCATGCTGTCTTCTTTTTAGTTATGTTAATATTTAAAAAAAAATAGTTTTATATATATTGAAAGGTTATTTCTAATTTTTAGCGTATTTAATTTGAAGGATATAATTTAATTTTTTTAACAAGGCATTCATGAAATTTGTTAATGAACAGGGAAAAAACAAATGAATTTTATCTTCAGATAAATTATCACATTAAAAATTCATATCGCCTAATATTAAATTCTTTTTAATTGATAAAGAAATAATTTACAGTATTTAAATCCTCAAATTCATAGTGAAATATACGAGGATAATTGTGGTCTGAATATACCCGAAATTCTAGATTTTACAGTTTTGAAAATAATCTCTCACTCGTGACTGTGGCTACAAGTAATGATAAACACAATACAAATAAATTGCGTACTTCTGAATAAGTACTTGACATGTCATAATATTTTACCACTGCTAATTTAACTAAATCATTAATGGATTTCTGATCTGAAAGTATTTATAAATCACAGCAGTTAACTTCCAGGGCATTAGTAAAGTCTCCTTTATGTGTTTTCTATATTTTAAAAATATTATTAATAATTTTCACATTTGTTTATGATGACAGATTTTTAGGTCCAAAAAAGGAAATCATTGCAATTTTTGTCATTCCAGTCATTCTATATGTTAACTGAGTATTTAAGATAGCGACAGCAGCATATAAAAAACATTTATTTTAAAATATATTTTGGAATTTTTAAACCTGTTATCCTCACATTGAACCATAAAAAAAAGTTTTTTTTTGTCTCTTTTCTTTCTTTTTCTTTTTTTTTTTCCTTTTCTTTTTTTTTTTTTTTTTTTTTTAATTTTTAAATTTAGTTCCTCTGCTCCATTTATTTGCAATAAACTCAGCTGCTTTTATAATATATTCAGACTTGTTTCTGATATTTTGCATACTGATAGAAACATCTTTTAGATATTGATAAGATTGATTTTTCTTTGTAATACTTGAGACGCTGCATTAGTAAAAGATAAAACGTTTTTCATAAAAATTGTTAAGAATAAAAATTTAAAAGACTCCATTTGTTTTTAACCTATTTGCAATGTTTTATCTTTGTGCTTTCTTTGACGTTAATATAACTTATTTAATGTTTTTAAGATGTCAAAGTATCTTAGTTTAATTGCTGTCAAAAATGATAATCGTCCAGCCCACCTTGTAGGATTTAGAATTTTGAGAGTAGTATCAGAGTCTCCCGAAGAAAGTAAACTCTATCTTTTTAAACTTTCTCCGAAATGCACCTAAATGTTTTGAAGAATTTCGAAATATTTACGTAGCTGTCTTGCATCTTGGATGCATCTTGCACATACCTGCCTCAAGAAATTTAGGCTATTGTTCTCACAATAGACGAGCAACAGCCTGGCCTCAGTTATTACTAATAACTTGAAAGATGTCCTCTAGAGGGGAATCAAAATGAAAGCATACACCCTTTTTGTTTTCCTTCAGTTGAAATTTGGGTGTCTGTAACACTGAATTTAGCTGTTTCATCTGCTTCCAAGGTCCCCCTATTTGCGTTGTATATTAGGGGGCCCTTAGAAACTTAAAAGAAAAAATATTTTATTATGTGTGTGTTCATAGATAATAGAATCCGTGTTTTAAGTTTAAGCATGTAAATGTAGTTCAGTAGGACACTTAAGGGCCTCCTAAACCTTTGGACCCCAATGCAATGGCATTCCTTGCATACCTTTACTTACGCCACTGGTGATAGTTGCAGATTTTAGTTAAATGTGGTAAATGTTGACAAGGAAAACTAATAAAAAATTTTCCATATTTAAAAATAGATTGTGTTAATGACACTTATAGGCCAAAAGATTACATTTAGAGCTATTTGAATTACAAATAATTTGTTATTCACATATACACAATACCGGCACCAGAGCTTGTATGGCTGCACTGAGCAGAAGAATTTAGGGAAGACAAAATTTTTGAAATTTAGAGAGGTACCGACTAACAAAATTAAGAGATGATAAAATTTTTAGAATTTAAGGAAATAACTGGGACAAAATTAAAGGGCGGCAAAAATTTAGAACGTAGAGAGGCGCTTGATGGCAGAATTTAGGACCCGAAGAGACGGCATCAGGCGGCAAAATGTCTAGCGACGGCCCTCAGTAAGCTTAAGTATGTGTGAGAATTCATTTATTCAGGACTCGGATAAGCATGTGCATGTAGAAGAATTAGGCGTAAGTATGATAAATAACTAAATTAATACAATTCAGGCTTAATTGTGTCAGTGCGCGGTAGAAGCATGACAAAATTTAACGGAACATTTTGTCTTTTGTTGCCAGTCACATGCTACATAGCCAAAAATGTATAGCAGACGTTGCTAAGCTAGGCTAAAATTATACTTTACTGATTCCAAAGAATCTAGCAGATTGTGCTGTTCTCAGGGCTGTGGAGTCGGTAGGAAAAATGTCAGACTCCTGGAATTTTAGACTCTGACTCCGACTCCCTCATATATATATATATATGTAAACATATATACATGGATTACAGCTTATTTTTTAATATAGAAGAAGAAATAGATGCTACAGGGGAAAAATTGATGGCACAGCGAATTATTTATATTAATTAGCATTTATTATGAAATGGAAAAACTGGCATTAGTTATTTCTAAGAAAAAGTATAACTTCAGCAAGGCCTTCTTTGTTGGAGGGCCATAGATCCGATTTGATAAACTTCAGAGCTGAGAAGAGTCTTTCCACACTAACTTGAGTAGGAGGAAGAGCTGTTACTGTTAGGGCTACTTCTTTTAACTTTTCATAATAGATTTTTAATAAGTTCTAAAAGAAGTGTCTGCAAACGCAATCATATTTCTCTAGTTCTTCAAAGGCTGTCTAGAAATCTTGTTTGTATTTTTTCATTTTTATATCTAAAGGCTCTTGGTCTTTATTTTCATTCGCTTTGCCTTAGCCTTTTCAATATTATCCAAAAACATTTCTTAAAATCTAATTCATCTTTGGACAGGATGATAGAGACTCAGTTGTAATGTTTGCAGTTTGACTGTCCTGATTCGAATTCTCCAATTGTTCTGAGAATAATTTCATTCTTAATGAAAGTTGACACATGGCTCTCTTTGCCTTTTTAATTTGTTCATCATCCAAGAAAATTCAGTGGTTCGGATCTACATATATTGACCCAGCAAGATCTCATTGTCTAGCAAACTAGTTTCTCTTTTCTTCATTGAAGAAATGATTCGTTTTGCAATAAACCCTCCATTTCAGAAAGAGGAAACATCACATTCTTCCATTCTCGCCTTCTGTCAAATCTTCAGATTGCAACTTTTTTGTTTCTATGTACGGTGTAGAAAGAAGAGTTTCTAATTCTGCAAGTTTATTGAACAGTCTATCTATTAGTGAAACATCAGGGTTATCTACATCTTCTAAAAAC